AATAACCATTGAATCTTATCTGGAGAGATTTACACTAACAACTTTTCAATAAACAAAATTCTTTTCAACAAGGATGACACGTGACATCATTTTATATTATATTATATTTTATTAAATAATATATAAAATTATAAATTTATAATTTTACATTATATTATAAATATAATATTTAAAAAATGAGATAATTAACTATTTGTTTAACGGCCATTACTATTTTCAAAAATCAGATCTGCAAGATAAAGCTTATCTATTAATAATTATTAACACGTGACGTTACAAGTATAACATGAAGACATGTGTATTAGATGGTGCGCTTGACTAGATCGGGAAACAAGGATTTCGTCTCGTACGCCCAAATTTTTTTTAATTTTGTGTTGTCTCCTACACGTGACATTCGATGAATCTTCACACACACGCTAATGAGGTTAGTGCGGTGCTTCTTAATCACGTTTAAATTTGTTAATAATTTAAATAATTAAGTAATTATTTATTTTTATTAAAAAAAATTTTAATTTAAATAATATAACATGTATAAAATAAAATAAAAAAATAATTATCCTTCATATAATTAAAATAAAAAAAAAAAAGCTTAAACTTCATACTTAGACACCTAATTATATTCCCCATCACATCACAAAACAACAAGGGACCACTTCTTGTCTCAACTAAATCATACTTTTAAACAGAAAACACATTACATGTGAAATGCATGATTAAGCATAATTTGTTTTTGACTTACCTGTATTCCACATGCCGCTTTAAAATGCATACACCTGGACCGGGCCTGACGTCTCTAAAACGTAGACTATATAGATGGGCTTTTTAGAAAGCATTGGGCTTATGAGGCCGGTAAGGTAACCTACGATTGGCGGTCGTCGTAACTTCCGTTACAGTCAGTGACTTTACCGTGACTTTAGTAGGAAACGAAAATGCTGTCGTTAGTACAATGCCCCGTGGCTTCGGCTGCTTATTTTTATTTAAAAATTAATAAAATTAATATTTTTAAATAAAAAAATACATAATTGATATTATCATTTACATATTTTCTCCCTTAATAGACCTTTTTAATTTGCTTGAAGAGATTGATTATTGTGGAGGTTATGTTTTTAAAATCACTCGAAAAAATAAATTTAAAGTGTATAAAAATTGATTTGA